GCCCCTGGTCCTCTCTCCGCGTGTCGCCGTCAAGCTCCTCTCGCCAATGAAGATGATGATGAATCTGAATGTTTTAGGGTAGGAGCAAAACGCAACGTTTTGCTCCCTCTGTTTTTTTTTTTATTTTTTTAAATTTTTTTTATTATATTTTTTATTTTTATTTTTTCTAAAAACCTGCGACCAAATTCAAGAATAAGGTAACATTAATTGTCTTTAAAGATCAATCAATCACAATTATGAAAAATTCACCCCTATTATGCACTAGTTCAAGTTAAAGCATTCTAATATAAATTATATTCAAATAATTAAGGACCAATAATAATGACAAAAATCCACCAAAAATATATTAAAATGCATGTAAAATATAGGTTTGTCAAAAGTGTATTTTTCGATGGATCAAAAAAGAAATTGAAAGTGGGTTAACATTCTTTTATGGTTTCAAAATTAATCGATTTGATATTTTTAAACTCAAATATACTTTTTCATCATTTAATTGCAGAGTCACCCTCTAAATTTGACGAGTGAACATTTTTAGGTCGTAAAATCATTTTTATAAATCCGTTTTAATCTTAAAACAATTTTTCCTCATTTTTACCTAATGGTTTGAGTCTTCTAATCTTCTTGGTATTTGTCATAACTAATTCTGCCTAATAATCACTTAATCAATTAAAATTCTAAAAGTTAAATAAAATTTCTTTTCATAAAATTTCTTTTTTGTTTACCATAATTGAGCCTCAAGGATGGTTGTAGACTTTTTCTTTCTACCTTCAATAAACTTTTGGCAATTTTCTCCAAAATTGCCCCAACTTAGGATGGGAGTAAGACGATGTTTTTGTAGTATTTCTACTATATATTTTATTTGGCTCTTATCAAATTTTCATTCAGCCATTTAGTCCTTATGAAATACGGATATAAATTTTGGACGAAGACAAATGGGTATTGTTGGATACTGCCTTTTTCTTTACTATATATATGCCCGTGCACACATATATTTATCTTTTTAGGATTGAATATTCCTTTTATTAGTATGAATAGTGTTGGTAATGAAAGGAACAAAAATTGTTGTTTCGGTTAGGGTTAATATAATATTTGGTCCTTCAAATTCCCCTCTATTTTGGTTTTAGTATCTTAAGTTTCAAACTATAGGTTTTGGTCCCTCAAAGGGTAAAATGGTCTAGATTTTTATTAGATTACAGGGATCAATATTATAAATCAAAAAAACCTTGAGGGACCAAAACCCGTGGTTTGAAACTTAAGAGACTAAAATTAAAATGAGGATAAACTTGAGGACCAAAAATTATATTAACCCTTTGTTTAATTTACAATTATACTTATCTCTGTGACGCTGCAAGGTAACCGCTGTTATAAATGTGGTAGTCTCCTCGGTTTAAAATATAAAAGTCAGTAAACTAATTTGTAAAAATTAAGAAAATTTATCAAGTTAGTTATTAGTAAAAATATGTGCCTCTTCATTAATAATTTAATACCACTTGATATGTGTAAAGAGTTTGAGAAAAAATTATAAATTTAAGAGATAAAATAAGTTAAAATTTTATATTTAAGATTAAATAAAATCTGTTTACTAATTTTTATATTTAGAATCGGAGGTATACAATATGGGTATAGTCCGACCGCCAAAGAACGCTAAGATATGTATAGTCGAAGTCCAAACATGTGTGGAAAATTAATTTAATGCGGATTAATGTTTATTCAATATATTGACTCTGATTAGAGAGTCGATAGACGTCTATTCAATATACTACAAGTTAGTTATATTGACCAGAGTCAGCAGCCTATCGTCTTTGGAAAAACAAGGAATTGACTTCACTTTATCAATTTTTTTTGGCATGTAACTTCACTTTATCAATTAGAGTGTGTTTAGAGAATTTTCTGTTGAAAATAAAGGAAATGGAATTCACAGGCTAGAAAACGGAAGAGAATACCACCTCTGATCCTTAATATCAAAACTAATTAACTAATTTAAATAAATTAAACAAATTAGTTAAATTAATTATTTGTAAGTTGTAACAAATATAAGTTGATTTTTTTAACCAATAATAATACTTTAGAAAATGTATTATAAATATAGAAGACAAAATAAATTAAAATCTTATATCAGGACCAAATCTATCCCTCAACATACTTTTATATAAAAAATCTAGGGTAGTATTAAAATGATATCTGCAAAAGTTTTCTAGTCTCCTTTACCAATCTAACCATCAATATAAAATATAAAACTCTTTAAGAATTTAAGGCGTTTTATCTGAAGTTGATGATGGAGACTTGATGAGTTCATCGTAACCTCATCACACAACATCAAATAAGAAGTATTTCACATAAGGAATCTACAATAGCGCGTGCGTGACAAGTGTTTGGGACATAAGCCCAAGCTTTGAGAGAGAAAACTTCATGTGGTGAATTTGTGTTCCTTTGATAAACAAGTATCTGTTCTTTGCTCAATTCCCCCCCCCCCGGGGGGTGAGTTCTTCACAGTCCAATAATCTGCTTTTATTTATCTAAGATTTATAATGAAGTAATAGCTGGAAAATGTGAATAATTATCATCATGAGTCAATTAAAAAAATATTGACGTCAATCTGTGTCGCTTTCTTCTACAGTAACAAGAATTATACTATAAATACCTCATGGATGAATTCACTTCTATGCAAGCTTATCTGAAGTTTCATTCTCAGTAACTGAAACAGCAAAATAAGCATGGCCTTCTACACTAGTATGTCCCAGTTCCTTTTTCCCTTGATCTGGTGTTCCATTCTTACATGTCTCTCTTCACGATTCCCTACCAGTGAATCGTCAGTTTCCCCTTCAAAGGCTGATCAAGACTTTGAAATGTTCCAGCAATGGATGGCGGAGCATGGAAGAGTCTACCCAAACTCTGAAGAGAGCACCACTAGACCCCAAATATTCCAAAGGAATCTCAAGTACATCACTGTCACAAATGCCAAGAGATCCAATTCCTCTACTGCCTATCGTTTGGGACTCGACAAGCTTGCTGATGAGTCCTGAAGAGTTCAAGAGAGTGTACCTCCGTCTGCTGGAGGTGCCCAACACCATCGCGCCGGCTACCTCTAGGTCGGGATATATGCAGCAAAGCAATTCATGTGAAAACGCACCATCTTCCATGGATTGGGGACAGAAAGGAGTTGTGACTCCAGTTAAACACTGGCAAAGATTTGGTGAGTTGCTGTTGCATATATACTTTATTGAAGAACGTAGACTTAAAATACATGCTATAAGGATACGAACACAAATTCGAACCTCAGAACGTACTTATTGAGAGGGTTTTAATTTTAATACTCTCGACCCTATAGAAGTTAGTCTCTAGTCCAAATTGACTTCAAAATATTCTCAACGGGTTAATACGTTGATTAATATTTCATGGTTCATAGGAAGTTGTTGGGCATTCTCAGCCATTGGGGCAATTGAATCAGCGAATGCGACAAGAACCGGGGAACTTGTTCGCCTTTCTGAACAAGAACTTGTGGATTGTGACCTCACCAACTATGATTGTTCAGGAGGATCTCCCATGGTGGCCTTTAAATTGGTTGTTGAAAATGGTGTTAGAGATCAAAATGTATCAACGATATTATAATATTAGATATGTAGAGATTTGTAAATAATTAATAGAATCATTCATTTATTTGTTGCCATTGATATAGGAGATAACATGGGATCTAGATTGATGTGACCACGTTGCTGCATTATTCACGTCTTGTATATATATATATGGACCTTGCATAAGAGATATAGATCATGTTTTTGGATCAAACTTTCTCATGGTACCAGAGCAGAGATCCGCAAAACACTAGCAGCCCGTTTGGTTCAATTCCATGAAAGTTCATTGCATGTAATCCTAATGTAATGGGTTGATTCAATTGTTTGGTTAGGCTTTTGTAATGTAAAAAGAATTACATATTGTAATCCTAATTACCTTAAGTGGAGGCATGGGGATTACATAGCTAATACTCATGAATGGGGATGCAGACCTCTTGTAATCAAGTGGAAAATATTTTATTACCCTTATAATTTTTAAAATTGACCAGATTGCCCTTAATGAAAAACTCATAAACCCTATCAATTGCTGCCCATTATATTCGCACTGTGACCGTCATCTTTCTCATTGCCGCTAACGCCAAATTTGTTGCTCATCATTCGCTGGAAAGGTAATCATTCCTTGGCTCATTCATATGGTTTTTTTTTTTTGCTGTTTCATGCGCTAGATTCCTAATCATTCATTGGCTCATTCATGTGGGTTTTCTTTTGTTGTTTCATGCGCTAGATTCCTCTTTAGTTTGTGGAGATAATAAACAAATATTAAATAAATTGGATGCATGTGAAGAGTATATTTTTCTTTACTGAATATAATGGACCTATACCCATTAAACATGAAACTTTATTTTTCCTTTACATGAAATTTTTTAACAAATCTTTTCAATTAATATTTTCTATTTGAAAGAAAAAGATTAACTCAGTTTTTTTTCCTTTCAAAATTGTAATTCTACATACTTATCAAGAAGTTGGAGCTCATTCTTTCAAAAGCACTTTTCAAGAAAAAAGATTAATATTTTATACAAATGTATGGAATGAATTCAAATGAGAACTGTAGCTTTATCAAATGTTTTAAATATATTTATCCAATATAACACCAATTTTATTAGCATTTTTCCTAATACAAAATTTGGACCTATTTTTTATATTAATCTATTCTTTATATTTCATGATCATCACAATTTTACAACAAAAAAATGAAGCTCGTAATTATCTTCTACTAGTGTGTGCCTATTCTTTATATTTTTTTGGGTTCTAGATTTCTATTCATAACATGCTTTTACTAAATAATTTATTTATATGTTTGCTTATATATATGATTTGCTTGAAATTATAGTAACGTGTTTATATTATACATTAAGATTATATTATCCCATCTAAAATGTTGCTTAAAATTTTATGCTATAATTTTATTTTGGTTGGGTACAGTAAATTATGGATGAAGACAGGCAACAAGTCATTCTTCATACAATGTTGGCTTGCATTTGGATTATGTATGCTATTCGAAAAATGTTTTTTGACATGTTTAGTGTGGCTGCATGTGACACTAAATACATTCATGATCGGTCGTACACCCTTGATTTCCATAAGAAAAGAAGGCGCCTTAGGGAGATGGTGTATGGTAGTGATATAACTTGCTTTAACCAAACGAGGATGTATAGAACTACATTTTTTCGGCTCTGTAGCATGTTAGAGACTATAGGTGGTCTTAAACCGACTCGGCATATGTTAGTGGATGAGCAAGTTGCGATATTCTTGCATGTACTTGCTCACCATATGAAAAATAGAGTTATTCAATTTGAGTTTGGAAGGTCAGGAGAAACCATAAGTCAATATTTCAAGATAGTTTTAAAAGCAGTTGTTCGCCTCCAAGGGGAGCTCTTTAAAACACCTGAGCCAATTCTTGAAGATTCAGTTGATGAGAGGTGGAAGTGGTTCAAGGTAAACATCAATCCCATGTGTCTATTTTTTCAAGTCAAGATTTTTGTCTTTCTGCTGATTGATGAATATTTGTAGGGCTGTCTTGGTGCACTTGATGGAACTCACATAAGGATTCAAGTGCCTGCAGAAATAAAGGGTAGGTATAGGAATAGAAAGGGGGACATAACTACCAATGTCCTTGGTGTTTGCTCTCAAAATGGTGAATTTATATTCATATTTCCGGGATGGGAAGGGTCTGCAGCTGACAGTAGGGTGTTGAGGGATGCAATTGCTAGACCAAATGGTTTCAAGGTCTCTCAAGGTATGAATATAAATCGTGTATTGTATAATTTGATTTACTTCTTGTGTTTTAATAGTGGTAATATGTTATGTGTAGGAAATTATTATCTAGTTGATGCGGGATACACAAATTGTGAAGGCTTCCTTGCTCCATATAGAGGACAACGATATCATTTAAGTGAGTGGCGTAATGGAAGACATCCTGAATCTCCGCAAGAGTGTTTCAACATGCGACATTCATCTGCTAGGAATGTCATTGAACGAGCATTCGGGATCTTAAAGATGCGTTGGGCAATATTGAGAAGCCCATCATATTACCCTATTCGAACTCAAAACCGATATATCGTTGCTTGTTGTCTATTGCATAATCTTATTATGCGAGATAATATGGATGACCCCATTGTGGCTGAATTTGATTCAATAGATCAACCAAATCTCCAAGAGGATAATAATCCAATATTAACCATGGAACCATCAAACGCTTGGGGTGCTTTTCGAGAGAATATGGCTAATGAAATGTTTCATGCTTTTAGGGCTCGTAGGAGTAGTAGATAATGTTTGCAAATTATTATTTGATTTGGATCTATATTTTTCATATTTGAATGTTTTTTTTACTGTATTAGCTATTAAGGTGGGCTTATATTAGTATATCTTTAACACTTGTGTGACTTGTATTCTATAATTTATTATTTTTTACAACTTTAAATCTTATACAACTCTTGTTGCTTTCTCTTTACTTTTTTATGTATAGAATGGAAACCCAAAAAGATAATGGTAAGGGAAGTAAGCATGTCTGGACCACCCAAGAAGATAACATGCTGGTTGAATGCCTAGTCCAACTGAAAACCAATGGAAAATTTGTCGCAGATACTGGGTTCAGTGTAGGATATTTGAAAAGGCTAGAGGATATGCTAGAAGTAAAGCTTCCAAGTTGTGGCTTGAAAGCTAACCCTCATATTATGTCTAGGTTGAGAACAATCAAGAAGCAATGGCAGATTGTTCATGATATGGTGCATAATAAAAACACTTCTGGCTTTGGATGGGATCCCATCAAAAAATGTGTTACAGCTGAAGATCATGTATGGACTGAGTATGTGAAGGTAATAGAGTGTTACATCTTATTATCAATATATGCTAATAATGATGTTTAAATTACATAATTATATTTATTTTTCATTTTTCAGGTTAAGAAAGAAGCTGGAAATTTTAGGAATAGATGCTTATCTCACTTTGAAGAGCTATCATATGTTTGGGCTAAAGATCGTGCAGATGGGACAGGAGCAGAGGTGCCTATATCTCTTGGTGAGGATGATGAAGAAGATTCTAGAATTGAAGCTGAAGTCAATGCTGAACAAGTACATAACACAGATACAAATTCTATTGCATTTGAGCAACAACCTTCACAGCCAACTGATGTCCATTTATCTGCAAAACGAAAACGAAGGAGTAGCCGTGATGCTATAGAGGTGCTTGCTGATGCTTTAAAGGAATCTTCTTCCAACATGGACAACACAATGATGAAGTTTGCTGACAATTTATGTAAAGAATTTGCAGAGATGCGGAAGGATTCCAGAAGATTTGGTCCTGTTGATGTGGGCAGAGCAGAGGAAATATTCAGGCAACTTATGAGAATACCAGGTCTTACATGGGGAGAGATTAACAAGGCTCATTCTAAGATTACTGAGTCTTCATCATTGGCAGTTGGATTCTCACTAGTCCCTGAAAACGAGATGGCTGCTTGGGTGTACAGCCTTCTTGAATAGATAATTTGATATATAGCAGTAGCACCTTTAAATCTTTCTTTTGTTAGTATTTCGGGATTTGTAGACATTATCTCAACATCTTTTTATTTGAACTGATAATTATGGACATGATTTAACTTATTAGTTTTTATGCTTAAATTTATATATTGACTTATTGGCTTAATTTTGGATTTATATAGAAATTATAGTTGTTGTTATAATATGTGGGTGCATAAAAAAATATTTGCATATACATTATATATGGATACAATTTTAAATATCAAACCTGCATGATACTTTAACTAATATATATATATATGGATACGAGCCAATCATACATAAAAATATATATTTTGAAGTGCTATACATATGGACAGACAAAAGTAATCTTATCTATTATTTTTTATTATATGTGTGGATACGGTTATTATACATTTGGAGAAAAAAATAAACAATTTTAATTTTATATATATCTGAACATGTAGATAAGGGTAATTTTGTCTTTTGGTATATTATTTTTACCTATTCCCATGTTCTTTGTAATCCAACCAAACATTTTTATGTCTATGCATTGTCTTTCCTTAATGACGTACCAAACAAACTCATGTAATCATCATTCCATTACATTGCATTACATTGCATTACATTCTATATCATTCAATGAACCAAACGCGTTGTAGAGCTTAGGTTTCTGAGCCGCACAACAATATGAGTTAAGTTGACGTAATGTCGCCATATTACATTCACACTTTCGAAAGTCCAACACACGTCTTTGTTGTTGAACTTCTTCATGAAATCAACTAGGGGGAGTAGGTGCAAGATATGACCAATGTCCTGCTTGCCAAAAACTAGATTGGCTTTGTCGATGGGACAATAACCATGCCTGCTGCTGACTCCTCCGATCTGAAGTTGTGTTTGCACTGTAACGCCATGGTCATTGGGTGGCTCAAAAGCGAGATGAGTAAGGAGGTTCATAATAGTGTTCAGTATGCCCAAACAATGCAAGAGATTTGGTTGGATCTAAGAGAAAGGTACGGCAAAGGGAGTGCACCACGTGCTTACAAGTTACAGTGCGCCGTTACGCGCATGAACCAAGACAAGCAATATGTGCCGACCTTCTTCAACAAGTTGAAAGGCTATTGGGATGAGATCGATTCCATCACCCCGTGGCCGAAGTGTTCTTGTGGAAGATGCACTTGCGACTTGCCAAAATAGTTGATCGAAATGAAGGAGAGAGAGCATCAATATGATTTTCTCATGGGTCTTAGGGATATACATATGTGAGCATCAAAACCCATATACTGAGCATGAAACCTTTGCCAAGGTTGGGGCTTGCTTATCATTTCGTCACTGAGGACTAGCAATAACAACATATTTCTACAACACAAAGACCAGTAATTGAGACAGCAGTGTTCCAAGTGTAAAAAGATCATAAAAAGGACAAACCAAGGTTTGATCACTTCAACAAACTTGGGCATACCAAAGACAAGTGCTTTGATCTATAGTTGGTTATTTGAGTGACTGGAAGAAGGGTGGATGAGAACAGTGAGACAGTCGAGGCCCACATAAAGCAAAGCACGTTAGCGAGGGAACAAGTCCTATCCCTGGGCTCGACATCGACCATTACAAGAAACTCATGCCGTATCTGGACTCTAAGGAGATCAAAATAGTGGGTCACAATAACCAACCATCAGCAAACATGTCAGGTATGTTGTGGGATGAGAGGTCATGGATCATAGACACAAGGGCGTCAATTCATATCACCAATAACAGGTCTACGTTAATTGATCTAAAGAAATCCAATTCCCCATTGGTGAAGATACCCAATGGCCACCGAGTTCTTGTACAAGGGATAGGGAGTGTTGTGCTCTCACCAAAATTAAAAATTGATGATGTTTTATATATCCCAGATTTCAAATGTTGCTTATTCTTAATTAGTAGATTTACTAAAGATTTTTACTGTGCTGTGACCTTCTTGGCTGATTTTTGTATTATCCAGGACTTGAACTCGAGGAACGTGATTGGAGTAGGTAGGTGTCAAGATGGCTTGTATTACTTGATGCCGTTGCAGCCGAGGGGTGTGGTGCTTGCTGTACGTGGTGCAGAGACGGGTGAACTGTGGCATTCAATGCTAGGACATGCATCTTTTGATAAATTAAAGCATATTTCCTTCTGTTTGCATTTGTTTAAGGATAAAGACAGTTTTTCCCAATGTGATTCTTGTATTCGGGCTAAGCAAACTCGTTTGCCATTTGGCATTAGTTTAATAAAGTCTAAGTCTTGTTTTGATCTTATTCATTGTGACATATAGGGAGGCTATAAAACTCCTTCATTTACTAGCGATCATTATTTCCTGACAATTGATGATTATAGTAGAGGCGTTTGGATCTATTTGATGAAGCATAAGTCTGATGTCAGTCATTATCTTCCAGCATTTGTTAACATGGTCGCCACACAATTTGATCAAAGTGTTAAATAGATCTGGGTTGACAACGGGTCCGAATTTCAATCACAGTGGATGTGTGATTTCTGTGTTGCAAAGGGCATTGTTTTACAAACTACTTGTGTCCATACACCTCAGCAAAATGGTGTCGTTGAAAGAAAGCATCAACACATCTTGGGGACTACGCGTGCCTTGCGTTTTCAGGCCCACTTACCAGTTGAAGTTTAGGGAGACTGTGTGTTGATGGCTACATATATCATTAATCGACTACCTTCGAAGGTTCTTGATGGGAAAACTCGTTATGACATACTCTTTAACAAATGCCCGAAATATGATCGCATGAGAGTGTTTGGATGCTTGTCCTATGCACGCCATGCCATTTGTACAGATAAGATGGCTGAAAGAGGGCAAGCATGTATCTTTCTTGGCTACCCACATGGCAAGAAAGGTTATCTCCTATATGATCCTGTTGACTGCAAGATATTTGTCTCTCGTGATGTGAATTTTATTGAGGCAGAGTTTCCTTTTGTGTCACCTCCACTCTCTTTTCTGGATTTGTTGGAACCGCCACTACCGCCCAATTATGTTGACTCAGATGATGCTCCTTTGCCTGAGCCTTTGGTAGACGGTGTCAACCAGATCCGTGAGAATAGGGTTGATGGTGCACAGCCAATAGAATCACCATCTGTACAGCCTCGTAGTCAACATACCTAGAATCCACCTTAGCGACTCCAAGATTATGTCACAGACTTGCCAACGTCACTCAACCCCTCGACTGCCCCTTTATCTGGCCCCACTCCGTCATGTGCCTCAGTCAGGTATCCTCTTGCTGAGTATATTAACTATGATCAATTTTCTCCTTCACATAAAGCTTTCCTCGTGGCCATTGATATCCATGATGAGCCAATGAGCTATTTTCAGGCATGTAAGCATGCCCATTAGTGATAGGCCATGCAACAGGAGATCACAACACTTGAAGCTAACGGGACTTGGGAGCTCGTTTCCTTGCCACCTGGGAAACATGTCATTGATTCCAAATGGGTTTTCAAAATAAAATATTTGCCGAGTAGAGAAATTGATTGCTTTAAAGCCCGTTTGATTGCTCATGGTTTCACACAGATAGAGGGGATTGAGTTAATGAAACTTTCGCTCCTATTACCAAGCTCCTTACTATTTGTTGTCTCTTGGTTGTGGCAGCAAAATGCAACTCATTTGTATGCCAATTAGATGTCAACACTGCTTTTCTTCACGGCGACCTTGATGAGGAAGTATAAATGTGCATCCCTCAAGGATTCGTGCGTGAGGGGAGACAAGAATGTGCAAGTTGAAGAAATCATTTTATGATCTTCGTCAAGCATCCTGTAATTGGTATCACAAGTTCACTCAGGCCCTCCTTCATAATGGCTATTGTCAAAGTAAAGCAGATCATTCTTTATTTGTTTTTTGAACTGTTTCTTCTTATGGTGCTTGTCTCATTTATGTTGACAACGTGTTGTTGGCTGGTAATGACAAAAGAAAGGTACAAGAAACCAAGAATTTTCTTGATAAAAGATTCAGTGTCAAGGACCTTAGACGGCTAAAATATTTTCTTGGTGTTGAAGTGGCCCGCTCACCACAAGGCATTGTCTTGAGTCAATGGAAATACACTTTGGATATTATGAGGGAAACAAATATGATGAATTGCAAACCCAGTGTGATTCCCATAGAGCAACATTATAGGTTACAGAGTAATGAAGGCGATCCTGAAGTGGATGCTGCGCGCTACTAGCATCTAGTAGGGAAGCTTCAATACTTGACGGTGTCATGCCCAGACATAGTATATGCTGTCAACATATTGAGTCACTATACATCTTCACCAAAACACCCACACATGGTGGCGGTGGAGAGAATATTACGTTAGTTGAAGAGCACACCCGGACAAGGCAAAGGCTCACTTGGAGCTAGAGGCATACTGCAATGTAGACTGGGCCGGTTGCTCCAAGATACGTTGTTCTTGTAGTGGGTGCTTCATGACTTTGGGAGGATCACCAGTATCATGGAGGACAAAGAAACAACATGTTGTGGCCAGATCGTCAGTAGAGGTGGAAACCGGGCAATGGCACTTGCTGTGAGTGAAGTGATTTGGTTGAGGTGGCTACTCACAGAATTGAGGGCACCGCAAAAAAGAGCAACTTCACTTTATTGTGATAACCAGGCGGCAATACATATAGCCATGAACCCCGTCTTAATTAGCGAACGAAGCATGTTGAGATGGACTGCTATTTTGTAAGAGAAAGATACCAGTCTGGGGAGGTCATGCCACGCAAAATTTGGACACAAGACCAACTAGCAGATATGTTTACAAAAACACTTGGAAAGGATGGACTTGAAATGCTCACAGGCAAGTTGGGCATTACCGATCTACATGCACCAACTTGAGGGGGAATGTTAGAGATCAAAATATATCAACGATATTATAATATTAGATATGTTGAGATTTGTAAATAACTGATAGAATCATTCATTTATTTGTTGTCGTTGATATAGGAGATAACGTGGGATCTAGATTGATGTGACCACGTTGCTGCACTACTCACGCACTGTTTACGTCTTGTGTGTGTGTGTGTGTGTGTGTATATATATATGCACCTTGCATAAGAGATATAGATAATCTTTTCGGATCAACCTTTCTCAAATGGTAGGCTCAGTAAAGAAGATGATTATCCTTATGTTAGGGAAAAGGGTTATTGCAAAGCTGAAAAGGTTTGTTTCTTTAGTTTGTGGAGAGTTCATATATCTTTTCCTCGTCAGTTTTGTGCTTTCTTTATGTTGCTTCAGCAAAGTGTTGTGAAAATAAATGGCTCTGAAAGTGTAGAACAGTCGGATGATTCTCTCATGCGTGCCATCGCTAGTCAACCTATTACGGTGGGTTTGGATGCAACAGCACTTCAATTTTATCAGGGCGTAAGTCTTAAGCTTAATTTTTGATCAATCTTTTTAGTTTTAAATTCGATGGTTAATTAGTTAACCATCAATCTTATAAATGTTTCCTAATTATCTTTTGTTTTATTATTTTGCAAGGGAATTATTGATGGTGAAAATTGCCCCATGGGAACTCAGCCAAATCATGCAGTTTTGATCGTCGGATATGATTCGAAAGATGGAAAAGATTATTGGATTGTGAAGAAGTCATGGGGAGAAGATTGGGGAATGAACGGATACTTCATGATTCAAAGGAATTCAAATGCACCAAATGGAGTGTTGTTATGAACTCTTAATTATGTTGTACCCAACCATATAGACTAGTACACTAAGTTCCCGTCAATTTCTTTTTGGTGTTGTTATGAACTCTAAGTATGTCTACCCTAAATTTCAAATAAAGAGTCAGAAATTATTAGTTATAATACTTTTATATCTTTGCCATCAAAATCCTACTCAGATTTATCAATTTTATTTTTGATAGCATATTACTATAATTTTAATAAATAATGCGAGTCTATGAGAAAATACACATTTCTTCTTCTTCTTACCCCCTTTTCTGTACAAGATGAAAAATGTGCACCTTATTGTACACGCCCCCCTCACCCATCATAAGTGGTTTACACCTCCGCCTTTTACAAATCTCAAACGAATAAGACACGGACTAAGTTACTTTAATTTACATGTAGGAACATATAATATGTCCTACTTAAAATAAAATACCTCAAAAGCCTCAGTAACTATAGTAGATCGTTCGTAAATATAATATACTAAAATCATTTAATTAGCAAAACTTAAAACAATCATTTGGACATACCTAATGGTGTCTCACACTTCATGATTATATTGATGAGTTTACTACAATTTTTCGTCTATGCGCTCCATTAGAATACCTGAATAAATTCAAATTGAAAGCCAATCAACAAGGATCTGGATTAAGTAAGTTTCTATTATTATGTTTACTTAGTCTAAATAAAATTATTATTATTGTTATTATTTATCAAATTTAAATTATTTAATTTTAAGGGTTTGCTAGAATTAGGAGTATGCATGGATCAGACTAGACCAGATCGGGTTGATGCTCAGCCTGAGGCCTAGTCTGATAAAGGCCTTGGACTGCATAATGCAGCCAGTGATCTGGTCTAGTCCAGTATAAACCTAAGGTTGGATTGGACTAGACTTGGTTGAGGAGACTGCTTAGACTAGTCTAAGTAATCAGGACCTCATTTATTTGTTTATTTTTTCTTTAATTTAGACAAATAAAAATGATGAAAAAAAAAGAAGAATCCACACTCAATCCAAATGCTAAAACAAAAAAAAAAAGGAGCCGATTAAAATAGCCAAAAAAAAAATCAACAAACCATCCAAATCCCAAATTCCCAAATGTGGGGAGTGGAGACTTCGCCTATGTGGGAGTCGAGAGAAGCATGAGGGAGGGATGACGATTGTCACGGAGAAGAAAAAAAACGAAAATTTCAAATAAAAGGATAGTTGAATTTATTCAAATGGCCTGGTGACCTAAACTCGCAAAATTTTGAATTGGTCATAATGACTAAATTAGAATTTTAAAATGTTTGTCGATTTACAATATTGTCCTTTATTTTTTTAAGAAAAGAAACCTCAAGTCACCCCATTGGTCGGTAACGGCAACTATTTATTGGAATTTTTTTCAACTTTCACAACGTGATTAACAATTCTTGTAATGATATTCACAACTTCATTAAAGCTATTAATTACATGTTTTTTAGGCTCTTAAATTGAGGTCTTTTTTAGTAGGTAAATTGAGTTTTTTTTAAAACTTTCATAACATGATTAATAACTCTTGTAACAATATTCACAATTTTAATAACTATATTAACCATGTGGTTTTTAAGTTTTTAAACTGAGATTTTTTAACATTCATAACGTTGTTCACAGCTCTTATAAAAATATTTACAAACTCTGTTAATATCATTAACCACTTTATATGATAGGTTTCTAAATTGATATTATTAATTTAACACATGTTTTAGTTAGTTATTTGTTAATTTCCTTATTATATATTTTCTAATCATATATATCGTACCTATACATTGATAGAAACCCCGTACCATTTATAATCAAAAGGGATATCTTAAAAAAATTATAAATATGAAAAATAAAGTGGATTAGTGTTTTATATTTAGAATCAAAGTAAACTTTTGTCTAGCTCCTATATTTAGAACTAGAATTATTATTCCTCTGATTCTTAATATAGGACCTAATTTGAGAGTTGATGTTGGTTCTATATATAAGACATATTTCATATGTTTATCATTTTTTTTCAAATTAACTCTATTGATATTTTCTTAACAACAATCAAGTAGAAGAGGGAAGAGGGAATTAAAGAAGATACTTAGAGTGTTCTAGAAAAAAAACATACTCCCTCTGTCTCTTTTTATAAGCAACTTTGGACTCCATCATGCAGATCAAAAAGTTAGGTAAAGATAATAAATAAGTAGAAATTAAAAGTTTTTTTTCCAAAATATCCTTATTTACGGGGAAAAAGGAGAGTATAAGAAAGAGAATAAAAATTATTATATTAAAGAAAAATATGAAAGAGAAAATATGGATGGAGAGAGATGATGGTTTGAAAAATAAGATAATAAATATGTCGGATATTAAAATAAGTAATTAATAGGGGTAAAATAAAAAATTTGCTACAAAAATTTCAGACAACTTGCAAATATTGCTTATATTTATAGATAAGAAGATGAGAGTAGTTGTTGCCTATAAAAAGGGATGGAGGAAGTAACTAATGAGCATTTTTTAATTTTACCCTTGTTGACTTAAATAGATGAGAAAAAATATAAAACATATTTTTCAAATACCCTTCCTTTAATAAGAGCAAAATGTGAAAAAATTATTAATTTAATATATTTCTTGGTTTGTGGTACTATAGTACAAATGACTTATAAACAGGAATAGAATGATGTACATGAAACACAGTTTATCAATAACCATTACCTACAATTAAATTGTTGTTTACGACCCCACGCATTTTATATACTCCTTTGAGCCCTTTTATAATATTTTTTATGATGTTTCACATAGGCTAAAAATAACATTAAATCGTATTAACTCTATGTTAAAATATAATAGTTTTTCAACTATGCCCTCATTTAATATATACGCATTTCAAAAGAGGAAAAACCTATCTACAAAAGACAAATAGTATATTCATGTTAAAAATTTAATGAGGTGACTTATAAATAGGACTAAGAAAAATCTTCTTTTTCTACTTTATAAATCATTTACGCATTTTTTTTAATAGAAATGACCTATTTTTGTTTATAAGAGACACTGATAATCTTTTTGAATGTGGGTGTTTGGAAAGGTCCACAATCACTTAAAAAACACTTTTACGTAAAATCGAGACAAAACTTACCTCACATACTTATCTCATACACTATAAAAATCACTTTTTTACTCCCTCCGTTCCTTATTATAAGAGACATTTGATGCTTATGGCATGTTCTTATATATAAGAGATACTTACAAGTTGTTTCTACTTTTTTGTGTTGATTTACTATTTCACCCATATTTATTATCTCCAACTCACATTCTCTCTCCCTCCCACTTCTCTTTCTTTTAATAATTTAATTGTTCTCTCCCATGCTCTCTCTCCTTATTAATGAGGGCATTTTTGGAAAAAAATTATACTTTTTGCACATTAATTGTTCTTAACTAATTTTAACTGTTTTTTTGATCAACGTACTTCGGTTATTTGTCTTATAATAAGGAACGGAGGGAGTAATTCATTATGAGGATGGCCAATCTCCCCTATAGTATCATTTTTTAATTTTTGTCCTCATTAATTATGGATTAGAGTCACTACATTAATTATTATACTCATTTATTGCTCAGTATGTCTGGGTCACTCGCTTTCTCTCCACATATAAGGTTGCTCTTTTTAAACGATAAGTTGTATTTTAATTTTAGTATTATGGTGCACCAAGTATTTCGAACTATTTTTTTAGGTGTACCCAATATCTCAAAATTATTTGTGTTGCACGCAGTGTTCTGAAGTAACTAAAATAGTGCACCCATATTCTAAACTAACAGAAACATTATGCTGACCATTAACCGCATAACTCAGCCTAAATTTGAGCATATAAAAGCGGCAGCTGAAGTGTTTTTTTTGCTTATTCTAAATTTATTTATTTGTTCTCTTCTTTTAAAACAAAAGATAATCTAATTCAGAGTAAAAGAGGAAACAAAATTAGAGTTCACTCTTCTGTACCCCATCTTTCGCCGACGGACGTAGAGGTTTTCTTCTTTGAGCAAGTCAATGGGTGAGTCAGACGGATGAGCTTTCTCTTGCTCCTTGTATGACCCTTCTATTATGCTTTGTAGTTATCCCTCTAGAATATAGTTTATTCTTGCACTGATTATTAGAAAAATCAAATGGATGAGCTTTCTATTTTGTCTTGTTGGAGTACCTTATTAGTGGCGGTGCAGAGATCTTTCAATGATTTAAACTCGAGTTGGTAGAAGAAAAGATGGGGTAGAAGATTGAACCCTGATTTTGTTTCCTATCTTGCTCTGAATCAATCCATCTCTGGCTTTAAAAGGAAAGAAAAAAATTAGATTCAGAGTAAGCAAAAAATGACATCATCGGCTGCTTATGTAATATGCCAAATAGGATTTTATATGCTCAAATTGGAGCTGAGTCATGGCGTTAACGGTCAGCATAAATTTTTGTTAGACTGGGATATGAGTGTACCATTTTAATTACTTTAAAACACTTGGGTGCACTAAAAATAACTTTGGGCTTACTTAAAAAAATAGTTCACTTGATTTCATGAAAAAGGATTAAATGTAATCCTAATTTGAAAAACAGATTGAAATGATTAGTTAGACTTTTATAATAGAAAGGAGGCTACATTTTGTGGTGCGGCTTCACTACCTTAAATAGCTGCATTAGAATTACATTTGAGAGTCGAGACATGTAAATGTACAGACCTCAATCAAGTGCAAAACAGGCTTCTGCTTATTTAATATAGTACATATAAATATACAATTTTAATTCAGGATAATTTTATCTTTTAATTTATTATTTCTATTTATTCACACGTTCTTTGTAATTTAATCCATTTTGTCTCCTAAATTTATAATGCATTCTTTAAAGTATCCCTATTCATTACATATATTAATAAGTTTCCATCTAAGGATAGTAATGATCAATTAAAAGGATACTTTAAAGAAATCAACCCATACTTGTTACAAATAATTAACTAATTTCTTAATCAATTTAAATTAGTTAAGTAGCCCTTACCTTAGGCACTTGAGGTAGTTTTCTCTTCCATTTTTTTGGCCTGTGAATTTCATTCCTTTTTTTTTAGGTTAATATAATTTTTGGTTCCTCAAACTCGTTTTTATTTAGATTTTAGTCCCCCAAACTTCAAACCATAGGTTTTCATCCTTTCTAGAGACAAAATGGTCCATATTTTTGTTAAATTATAGTGACCAATATTTTAAATGAAAATAAATTTGAGGCACTAAAACCTATTATTTGACATTTAAGGATCAAAATTAGAATGAAGGCAAATTTGGGGATGAAAAATTGTATTAACCCTTTACTTTCAATAAAAAAATTCACTAAACATACTCTAACTGATGAAGAGAAGTCAATTTGTTGTTTTCTTTTTTTCAAAGACGATAGGCTCTTGACTCTCTAGTCAATATATATTGAATAAATATCTATCGACTCACTGGTCAATAGTCAATATGTTAAATAAACATTAGATACGCATTAAATTGATTTTCCACACGTTTGGACTTCGACTATACACATGTTAACGTTCTCTGGCGGTCGGTCTGTCACAAATTAAATTGAAGTGTAGTTTTCATTCACATATTCTACTACCCCTGTCCTAAATATTAAAAACAATAGAAGGATTTTATTTAAGGGGTGTTTGGTTCAATCTAAAAGCATTTTTAAAGAATGTTTTTACGTAAACTGAGACAAAATTCATTTCACATACTTGGTATACTATAAAATTATTTTTAAAATCATGGTTTGGTTTTCACTTAAATATCCTCTTAATTCTAAATATAAAACCACAATTTATTTTTCTGATCAAGCCCGGCAGGTATTCAATCTATATAAGAGTCCAAAATAATCTTAGAAAGAAGAGTTGTTTAACTACTTAGGGGAAATAACTCAATTTTTAAACTTAGGCTCTAATGCTTAGGATGGCTAAACTATGGGTAATGAATTGCATCGAGTTATAACTCAGGGATCAATAGATTCAAAATGAAAACCGTAGATATTGACTTACATTAAGTTAAAGTCCAGGAATTGAGTTACAATTTAGAAAAAAATTATAGGGACCAAATGATTGATGTTCCCCTGTTTAAGGTTGGTCGAACCAAAATGGATTATATAATAATGAACTTTCTGACCAAACGTCGAATGAAGAAACAATCTCATACGAACATGAATCACACCAATGAGATCAACGAACCAGCTGGAAATTGTGAGGCACGATATAAGTCAAACAGAAATTGACATACAACATTTAATGTCCCCCCCCCCCCCCCCAAAAAAAAAAAAGAATCGGTATCAAGAATTACACTATATATAAGCTTATGAGCTTATTTCAAGTTTTGACAGATCTTCAGCATCTGAAACATCAAATATAAGCACGTTGTTCCATTCTAACAAGTCTCTCTTCAGTATTCCCTACTAAGGGATTTGTTTTTTCTTCAAAGAAAGAACGAGTTTGGGATATTCCGACAATGGATGAAGGAGCATGGAAGAATCTATCCAAACTCTGAAGAGAGTGAAACCAGATTCCAAATATTCCACAGGAATCTCAGATATATTCCAGAGATGAATGCTAACAGATTAAAATTACACTGCCTTATAGTATCGTTTGGCCCTCAACAAGTTCGCTGATATGAACTCAAATGCCGACCACCATCGCCTCTGTCCCTGCCGCTGCCACCAACACCACGGCCACTATGACGACCGATTAGGAGCAGCAGAAGGACTCCTCTAAAGCACCTGCTTCCATGGATTGGAGACAGCGTAGAGTTGTCACTGGAGTTAAAACCAACAAAGATGTGGTCAGCCTCTCTTGTTCAGGCAACTTAATTCATGTAGGTGTACAAATATATTTTACTCTTGCTGGATAACTCACGAAGTTAAATAAATAAATTAATTATAACAAATAGGATCCAATAATCTCTCTAAAATAAATAACTTTGTATAACATTAGATTATATATTAGTTTATAAATTAGGTAAATTAGTTTGGGGAAAAAATGATAAATATGTGAGGCAAAGTGAATTGAAGTCTTATATTTTGAATTGAAAATCTAGCATCCCAACTAGCTCTCATATTAGGGACTGGAAGGATAATTATTTATGAGCATAGACTTGACACACAAATATATATAGTACAGATGCCCACATGATTAATTGATGTCATTCATATCCCAAAAAAATGGGACACGTAGAATCATTTTTAATTGGTTCTTCTCTTGATACTCAATGGACTCATATAGATTTACGTTTAACGATGATTCACAGGTAGTTGCTGGGCATTTGCAGCTGCTGCAGCCATTGAATCAGAACATGCAATAGCCACAAGGGAACTTATTACCTTTTCTGAACAACAACTCATAGATTGTGATTCCATGAGCCAAGGTTGTTCAGGAGGATGGCCGTCTAATGCCTTTGATTGGGTTATAAAAAATGGTGGGATTAGCAGAGAAGATGATGTGTGTGTGTCTGTGTATATTTATATGCTTCTCTTTGTCTAACTTATTTCTCTGTATATGCTTCTTAATCAGAATGGGAATACTGCCGTCAAAATTAGTTACTATCAACGTGAAACACCATTAGATGATGCTCTCTTGTGTAACAAAATCAGATGATAAATCCTGAGGAGTAAGTATCAATATTATTTCATTTTTAAGTTTGATCTGATTGCTCTTTTATTATTTTTAGGGAATTCATGAAGGTGAGGATTGTCCCAGGGAATCAAACAATTTGACTCATGCTGTTTTGATTGTTGGGTATGATTCAAATGATGGAAAAGATTATTGGATTGCGAAAAACTCCTGAGGATAATATTGGGGAATGAAAGGATCCATCTTGATCCGAAGAAACATGGGTTCACCAAATGGAGTACGCTCTACCAATACTGCAGCTTTCTACCCAACCATGTAAGTGTCAAGTTCTTGTTTTATGTCATAAATTATTGAATAATTATAGTGAAACACATTATATATTTTGTTATTTATGATCATATAAATATATATTGGATATCTAAAGTAATTTATTTTAAAGCCCCAGAGAATTGCTGATTTACAAGCTTGAGCTTAAACTGGGCCGCTCGATTATAATTGATAGGAAGTAGAGTAAGTAAACTACTAGTGGCTGCCCGATGTTATGACACGTGGAGTTGTTCCTTGGTCATCATTGGCAAGTTAAACAACTAAGCCTAATTATAAACTTCAGAAAAAGTTGTTGCAAGATATTACAATTTGGGCTAATAAGTTCAGGCTCGGATGGTGCTACGTTTATCTTTTGTGTGTGTGTGTGTGTAAGAGAGAGAGAGAGAGAGGCAAACAAGTAATGAATAAAGCACTTATTTGTAGCTCAAGTGATGTCAAACACCTTTTTCCAAGGCTTTTTTAAGCCCATTTGAAAATTACGTTTAAAATCACTTACAAACACATTATATGTAAACCGATGCAATAAAACTCTTCTTACACATTTACATCATATTTTATAAATCATAATTAAAAAGCTGTTTCATAAACCATGTTAAACGGACTACGGTTGTAAGCTCCAACTTTCAATAAATAGCACAATAATCCCTACTGGGAGAGGTTTCCACATTCAGTGCTCAATAGTGCCTCGAAGAGGATTGTTTCAAATAGAAGGATACCTATACTTTAGCCCAAACAAAAAAAAGTGAGAAGAACATTGATTGCAATCAACCGGAGAACTCTTTTTGGTGGTATGACAAAGTCAACATAAATTATACTCCTCTATTTATTCCTATACACGTAGTATTCTGGTCTTAATATAAGTCATTTGTAACACATTCTCTCATGTAAAAGAATGCATTAAATTGTCAAAATTTTCCAATTTCGTCCTTAAAGTTTTCACTCACTATATATTTACAAATCATTCTTATATCTCTCCTTTTTTATTTTTTCCCATAAAAATTAAATATGGGTAAGAATGAAAGACAGGCATTAAATATACTACAATTAACTTATATTTAGGACAGCAGTGGTACAAGGCCTTGTTTTTTTTTTGTTGCCAAATATATACAAGGCATTGGCAGCAACGACTAATGCAATACGAATAATTCAAACCAAAATAAACAAAACCATCTTCATTACTCGTGCATGGAAGAGAAAAGCCCAATTACAACAGCTAATAATGAATCAATCCCAAAAGTTTTGGGAATTGGAAAAGAAAAATTCAAGCTAACCACTGACTTGCGCATAGTAGGGAGTCCATATGCTATCACACTTAATCATGAACCAAAGCCTTCTTTATACAGACTTTGGGTCATCAACCCACTCATACAAAGTCTTAACTAACTAATCTCATTTTAATGTCTCCAATAGGCATTTTAAATTTTCATTAGTGAATATTATATCTATACCTTTAGAACCATCAAAAACAAAATTAAACATGAATAGTCGAGAAATTAACCATATATATATTCACCATATATATTTCTTTTCTATCTTTTCATTCATTCTTATTTTTCCTTCTATGAAAAGCAACAAAGTCGCTTTTGGATTTGGGGTCTATAATGTGCTTATCTATAATATTATTATCTAATATTTTCTGTAATGCTCCAACTTTTCAAATGCTTTTTTAATTTCATTTTTAATTATTATATTCTATATAAAATAAGTGATATTTCAATACTTTATAGTGATAAATGGTACAGGTTTAATCTTTTTTTATGGTTTTTCAAAGAAAATAAGCATAATTTTAGATTATTTTTCTTCGAAAAATCATAAACAATTAAAAACGGCATCATTTAACCACTTGATATTTATAAAGCAACGCACATCATAGGCCCCAACCCCATCATTCTTCCATCAGTCAGCACACATTTGACAATCTAAACATATTAATGAGGCGTGGACTCAAAAGGAGTTTCACATTCGTTACATTAACACGTAAAACGCCTCCTTACGTATACGGAACTTATTGGAGACTGTGCGAAGGCCATGCATGAATAAGTAGACGATCCATTTTAAACATGTTGATTGGAATAGTTATTATAATTCAAATTGAAAGCCAATCAACAGGGATCTGGATTTAGTAAGTTTCTATTATTAAGTTTACTTAGTCTAAATGAAACTATTATTATTGTTGTTGTTATTTATAAAATTTAAATTATTTAATTTTAAGGGTTTGTTAAAATTAGGATAATGCATGGACTATGTTGATGCTCAGCCTGAGGTCTTGGTTTGATAAATGCTTTAGGCTGCATAATGCAGTCCATGGTCAAGTCTAATCTAGTACAAACCTAAAGTTGGATTGGATCTGACTTGGTTCAAGGGACTGCCTGAACCAGTATAAGTGGTCAAGACCTTGTTTATTTATTCTTTAATTTAGACAAATAAAAATGATGAAAAAAAAAAAACAAAAAGAAGAATCCACAATCCATCCAAATGCTAAACGAAAAAAAAAAAAGAGGAGCCAATGAAAATAGCAAAAAGAATCTGTGGGTGAAAAAAGAAAAATCAACAAAACAATCCAAATTCCAAATTTCCAAATGTGGAGAGTGGAGACTTCGCCTACGTGGGAGGGAAGACTGTGGAGACTGGAGAGAGAAACATGAGGTTTGTTGAGAGAAGCATGAGGAGGGGGGTTGTTAGAGAGAAGGGGGAAAAAAAAACAGGAAGAAAATTTCCCATAAAATGATAGTTGAATTTATTCAAATAGTTACTTAAACTTACAAAATTTTAAATTAGTCATAATGACTAAATTGAAATTTTTAAGTGTTGGTTAATTTACAATATCACCCTTTATTTTTTTAAAGAAAAAACCTCAAGTCACTCCATCAATCGGCCGGCTACTAGAGCTATAGCAAACAGCAACTATTTATTGGAATTTTTTTTTCAACTTTTAATGATTTACAACCCTTGAATGATACTCACAACTTCATTAACGCTATTAACCACATTTTTTTCAGCCTTTTAAACTAAGATTCTTTTAACTTTCACAACATGATTAACAACTCTTATAACAATATTCATAACTTCAATAACTAAATTAAACACATGTTTTTCAAGCTTTTAATCTGAGATTTTTTACCGTTCATAATGTTGTTAACAACTCTTATAAAAATATTTACAACTCTGTTATTGCTATTAACCACTTTATATGATAGGTCTTTAAATTGATATTATTAATTTAATACATATTTTGGTTAGTTATTTGTTGATTTCCTTATTATAAAATTTCAAATTATATGTATTGTAACTACACATTGATAAAAGCCCTTTACTATTTATAATCAATAGGGATATCTTGGAAAAAAATTATAAATGTGAAAAATAAAGTGGATTAAAATTTTATATTAGAATCAAAGTAAACTCTTATCTAGTTCCTATATTTAAAACCAGAATTAGTATTGCTCTAGTCTTTAATATAAGACCTAATTGGGTAGTTGATGTTATTCTTATATGGAAGATCTATTTCATATGTTTATCAAATTTTTCCAAATTAACCCTATTAATATTTTCTTAACAATAATCAAGTAGAAGATAGAGGAAAGGAATTAAAAAAAGATATTTAGGGTGTTTTAGGGGGGAAAAACATACTCCCTCTGTCCTGTTTTAGAAGAAACTTTAGACTCCATTACACAGATCAAAAAGTTAGTTAAAGAAAATAAATAAGTAGAAATTAAAAAGTTTTTTCTTCAAAATACCCTTATTTATAGGGAAAAGGGAGAGTATGAGAAAGAAAATAAAAAATTGTTATAATAAAGAGAATTACGAAAGAGAAAAATTGTTGATGGAAAGAGATGATGGTTTGAAAAATGAGATAATAAATATATTGGATATTAAAATAAATAATTAATGGAGGCAAAATAAAAAATTTGCCACAGATTCGAGACAACTTGCAAATGTTACTTGTATTTAGGAATAAGAGGATGATGGTAGTTCTTATTTATAAAAAAGCATGAAGGGAGTAACTAATGAGCATTTTTTAATTTTACCCTTCTCGAATTAAATAGATGAGCAAAAATATAAAACATATTTTTTATTCACCCTTCCTTTAATAAGAGCAAAATGTGAAAAAATTATTAATTTAATATATTTCCTGGTTTGTGGGATTATAGTGTAAATGACTTATAAATGAGAATAGAGTGGAGTAAATAAAATAGGTTTATCAATAACCATTAACTATAACCAAACTGTTGTTTATCACCCTGCAACACCTAACTTTCTAGATACTAGTAGGATCATTTTAATGTCTGTGAATCACTAACGCCAAGTTTCTGACCTGGGAAAAGATAGGAAAATTGTTTTTTTTCCTTCAACATTAGAATCTGTCAATCAAACATTTCAAACCTTTAGAATAATTGAAGAGTGATCTACAATTAACCCTACTTTCAACTTAGTCTATTATCACCTAGAATGATTTCATACTGTGTAATCTCATAATATTGTATTAAAAATATAGTAACCATCTTGGTTAATAGTACATACCTGCACCCGACAGTGCTCTCCTCCTTATGAAAGATACAAAATAATATTTACATAAAGCAAGTAAAGTTACTTGCCCATATGACATATACAAGAGTACAAATATTAACTTATAAAAATATTCTAATTCATAAGTACATAATATAGCAGGTATCTCTACTCTTTGACCAGCTCACCTTCTTCTTAAACAACCTCCTTATCCTTCGAGCTACTAGCCTTTGCTGTTCATCATGTATGGGAGGGTGACATTCTAAAGAATCTCTGTAGTAGTAATTTCCATCAAACACATGTAAATTACATAAAGCATGCAAAACAAGCTATATGGAACATAACCTTGCAAGCTATGCATAAAAAGCATTTAAGTGCAAT